ATGAAATATAGAGGGGAGTGACAAAATATATTTGTCGTACTTTATTCCAGATATCCTATGGGTTTGTCAAATGTTATCATTGTTTATTATACTGTACATAATTTTAAAAATGTATCCCCTAAAAAAAAAAAAACATTTTTAAATCGACCTTTTGCGTTGAAAAACGTGGTAGTAAAATCATTTTGTATTATTTTTTGCGCAACATTTCTAAAGTTGGTGGGGGAGGGGGGGATACAGAGAATATTCCTTATGCTATTTCTTCTAATGAGCGAAAAGCGATAAACTAAACATAAGGGGTAAAATTTTGTATACCAGTGTTATTCGAGAAGTTATAACACTTTGGCCTGCACGACATAATATAAGATGTGGGCAAATGACAAACAAAAAAATTACTGTTCACAGAAAAAAAAAAAAAGAGTCAAGATGTGAGGACAGCATTTATTATTCCCATAACCCAAAACAAAGAGCTGCAAAATATAACACATGAGGTAACTGCCTTCTCTCTTGTATTAGGTCACAATCCTTGCTCAATGTGGCGCCCTTCATTCTCAAACACCGCCTGCAGACGATAGATGACAGAATGGACACAATTAAATAGTTGAAATTTATAAAACGTGCCATCTGAATCTGATAGAAGCCTTCAACATGGCCAATGTGGTAGGCCGGCATCGATAAAAACGCGACTTAATGTACCCCCTTAACCTAAATTGTAAGGCGTCAAGTCTGATGATATTGGAGGCCACTGGTATATAAAGTGGCAACATATCAACGAATTTCACCGAACGTATCCTTCAGCAATTGTTTGGCACCTCGGGAGATATGAGGAGGTCCTCCATCTTGCATGAATGTTATTTCGCTTAGTGCTTGTCTGTCCTGCAATATGGGAATAACCTTTTCTCTCAAAAGTTGAACATAACGTTCACCAGTTACAAAAACGGTTTTAAAAGTTCTTCCATTGGTTTTTTCAAAGAAAAATAGCCCAATTATAAAAGAAGAAGCGAACCCACACAAAACTGTAACTCTGTGCTGATGAAGTGGTATTTCTGTAAAAATCCTAGGGTTTTCTGTTGCCAAAATGAGGCAGTTTTGAATGTTAAATTCTCCCTTCAGATAAAAGTGACCATCATCTGTTATTAGAACATTTGACAGCCAGTTTTCATCAATATCAATTTGCCGGAAAATCCATGCAGCGAATTCTTGACGCTTCTCAAAATCGCTGACTTTCAACTCGTGAAAACTTTAAATTTTTGTTAGGTTATTTTTATAGAAAAATTCTAAATGTGTGTTCTCTCCAAACTGTTCCATACGAAATCCCCGTTTGTCGAGAAACTTGTCTAGCACTTACTTCTCCATACGTGGATAACGTTTCAATAGCTTCAGCATTCTGCAAAACCGTAACAGCCACTGACTTGCATGTCGTTGGTCTTCCACTCCGAGGTTTTGCTTCCAGAGATCCAGTTTCCTCAAAACTTTTAATCAATCGCTTTAGAGAGTAGCAACTCATTGGTCCTTTACCGCTTCGAATATCTTTAAAGGAACGAAACGCTCGTAGAGCTTCAGTGGCAGATTCTGAATCACAATTTAAAAAATCACCAAGAGTGCTTTATCCTGTAGTGACGGCATTCCAGGGGGAAGAGGAGAAGTCCGACCACACCTCCTTGCGGTCCCCCCTGGACCCTTGGAAAATTTGACCAAATTCTGGTTCGTTTCCAAGATGACTAACGTTGCAACGGCACCCATTTTCAAATGAAGAGCAAAACTGATATCTTCAGTAATACTACCGCGTCCGGGGTAACCGCCGCGTCAGGAGCTGCAGCTCGAGCTCATGATGAAACATCTACTACGAGGACACAATTCAATCTACTACAACTCAATATAAATGGTTCTCAGATGAAAATAAAGGGCTGACAAAATTGAATCAGAATTCGAGATTCAATATCAAAGATTATACAACACTACGAAAAGACAGACAAGGAAAATTCGGAGGAGGACTTGCTGTTTTGATTAAAACTCTAGAAATCGCCTATAATCAGAGTAAGCCTAGAGAAAGCACGACAGAAGAATATAAATAGAAATAGAAATCTATCTTACAGAAAAACAATTCCAATCATAAATGTTTATCACCACGATAATACTAGCATCAATACAGGCCTGATAGAGCCATTAAGTGAAGCGTCTTCGAATATCGCAATCATACTTGGTGATTTTAACGCCGAAAGACCAACTTGGGGATCACCTGTCTAGGATAACAAAGGTCAGCAGGCTGAGGACATGCTAACCGACATCGACCTTACACCGTTAAATAACGAAAAGAACACCTATCTATCCAAGTCCACAGGCACAGAATCCGCAATAGACATCACAGCGATAAATTACAACATCGCACCCACAACACAATGGAAAATTCTGAAAGTGCAATCAGTGACCACAGACCAATTTTAACAACCCTAAAATTCAAAATTGATAATTTCCAACAGAATAAAAGAATACTGTAAAAAAAATCACACACAAAAAAAGCTCGAAGAACTGTGCAACGAAGAATTAAATCACAGAACGATTGACAAAAATTTGGAAAAATTCTCTTCGAACATATCCAAAGCTGCAAAATTATCGATACCTAGAGGTAGACGTAAAGACCTGTGAATACTTTACTGGAAGGACCACAATGTCGAGGCAATGATTGCAGAGAGAGACAATATCAATGAACTTCTTAAAACAAATAAAACAGAAGAAATCATAAAAGAACTCATTGAAATTAGTCACAAAATAGAATAAGAAATTTGGATATTTAAACAAGAAAAATGGGCAGAATTCTGCGAAAAAAAAAATGGATCCAAAAGAGGAAAGCCATCACTGGAATATAATTAGCGTTATAAGACAATCAAAACCAACACTAATCCTCCAATACTCTAATCGATATGAATAGCGAGAACGAACAAACAGATGGCTGAAATAATTGCTGAATATCTTTCAAGCACTTCCAGACTCAGCTATACGAATGAAGGCAGGACTCTAAAATATAATGTAAACAGGTTAGTTAAACAAGCAAAAATTACCATCAACAAGATATTTACTCGAGAGACTTCACACTGAATGAGCTAAACTCATCAATAGGAAAGTTAAATCCAAGATGTCACCTGGAGATGCTCTAATCTTTGGTCAAATGATTAAACACTTTGGAGACGAAGCTAAAAATCACCTCCCACGAATACTGAAGATTTCATGGCAAACTGGTAAACTACCAAAGAATTGGAAGATATCAATTATAGTGCCAATACTGAAACCAAACAAAGATGCCAAGGAATGCAAGAACTATCGGCCAATTGCTTTGCAAAATAACAGAATGAATTATCCACTCTAGGCTCATAGTCTGGCTCACTAACAATAATAAAATAAACTTTTACCAAACTGTCTAAAGATCCAGACACTGTACAACTGATAAAGTGTTCTACTTCTGCCAATCAATAATAGATTTCTAGGAAAAACCGCCAAAGAAGACAACGGCCGTATTCCTGGATATGACCTCAGCTTTTGATCGAGTGTAGAAATTATTTGAAAGGCTGTACAACATCGGAGTAAGAGGAAAAACCTTAATCTGGATTGCAGACTTCTTAAGGGGAAGAAGGATAAAGGTTCGGTCAATGGAACATTTTCCAAGGACCGAAGAACATGGGCTGGTGTACCTCAGGGATCCGTGCTCAGTCCTCTACTCTTCTCGCTATATATTAACTGTTGTTTATGTAAATAGATGAATATTATTTGTATTATTTAAAGCCTCATTATGTAAAAATATATGTATATATAAATTGGACATTTGTTGTTGGCCATGGTCAAGTTTGAGCTCTTGTACGTCTAATTACGACACAACAAAAGTGGCGACGAGGATGCGCGATCTACAGAGCCAGTAAAAAGCTGAGGAAAACGGCGTCTATGCAAGTATAACAAATACATCTTTCAAACTATATGGATCAAGAAAACAAAGGAGTATAAAAGATCAGCATGACAAGTTCAAAGTTAATAGTTCCTTTTAGATGCTATAGCCCAGTGGAGGACACTTCGATCTTTTTGTACAAAAATTTGAGGCTTTCTTTTTGGCATCTGAAGGAGGAGATTAAAGTGCTGATTTTTACCTCGCTACCAGATTCTGAAACTTTGAAGCAGGGAAACGACATTTTCCTTCTGGTCTAATGAAAGATCAACCCTATGATACTATCATTCAAAGAATTAATCTGCATTTGGATCCAAAGAAGAAAGTGATATCACAGCGATGCAGATTTTTGAAGAAAATTCAACAGGAAGGAGAATCAATTTCGGAATATCTTAGAGAATTGAAACATTTAGCAATAAATTGTAATTTCGGCGATATGCTGGGAACCATGATGCGAGACCGTTTTGTGGCTGGAATCAAGTTGGAAAAAGCCTGCAAAAGAAGCTACTACAAGAAAACGACGATGTCACCCTGGATAAAGTTTTGCAGTGGCGATCTCGTTCGAACTGGCGGAGATAAATACAAGAGAATTACAAGATAAATTATTGGCCAAGATATCCCCTGTGAATGGAAAGGATAAAAAGTGTGAGTACAATAATAATACGGCGCAGCATAGGCCTTTCAAGCAAAGAGGAGAAATATTGTGTTGTAGATGTGGTGAAAGACATTCACACGTGGCCTCTGTTTGCCCTCATAGAACAAAGACTTGTTTTAAAATGTAAAAAACTGGGTAATTTAAGTTGGGTCTTCAAAGCTAGTAAAAAATGTGGGGATGTAAATTTGTACAAGAGGACTCTATATATTCTTTATAGGACGAAACTGATGCCACAAAAAATTTAACAGTAGAATATTATTCTTTGTGATTTACAATAAATACAAAAAGTCCAGTTACGTTAATACCTAAAGATATTTATAAGAATTATTGGCAAGGTAAAAAATTATTTCCAACAAATTTAAGATTAAAATCTTTTTGTGGTAAATCAATAGAGATTATAGGGCAAATAAATGTTTTTGTAAAAAAGCCAACCAATATTTACGATTAATAGTTATAAATGAAAATTCCAGGTGATTTTGTTAGAAAAAGAATGGCTTAAACAGTTAAAACTTGATTATTCGAGATTGTTTAGCATTAAAAATTTAAATAATGAATCTAATAGAAATAGTTTGATTGATAGATATGCACATTTGTTTAACACAAAGATTTAGGCTGTCTAAAGGATGTAAAAATAAATTTTAATTTAAAAAAGGATATGACTCCTGTGTTTTGTAAGGCCAGAAGTTTACCTTTCTCTCTAAAAAACAAAGTAGAAAATGAAATTGATCGTTTAGTGAATTCTTGCATTTTATAACCTACTAGCCGAATGACCGGGGCAACGCCCGTGTTTTACCCGATAGAATGTTTTGATTCAAATACTATTTGTTACAATTATAAATTGGCGCCTTAAATAAATGCATATGTTAGTTAATAACTATAGCCTATGTGCTTTATTTGTCTATGTACTGTTGGCTTCCGTAGGCGTCTCTTACAGGGAAAAAGAAAGAGAGGATTCCATTTGGTTATTAACTAATATATGCATTTATTTAAGGAGCGACCCGCACCAACACAATAATTACATAAACGAAAAGGCGAGTGGGGGGGGCAAAGGTGGCGTGACCGTAGCCAACCAATAGGAGGGCGCCATTCCAAAAAAAAAAAAGCAAACGGTGACAGAGATGAAAACTGATGACTGATTGTTGATTAGGAGATGAGGAATGACGCTCGTAACTATATATAGAATAGTTCAAGCATATTGGACCGCTCCAATAGTCCCGGTATTAAAAAAGGATAGTAGTGTAAGTAAATGTGGTTATTTTAGATGTACAGCTAATAAAGCAATAGAATTTGATAGGTATCCCATTCCATCGATCGATGAGATATTTTCAAAATTATCTACAAGCACCGTACTTTCGACTCTAGACCTATCACAGGCTTAATTACGAGTAATGTTAGCGGAAGAAGCCAAAGCTGTTGTTGATATAAACGTAACAAAGAGGTTGTTTTCTTATAAAAGACTACCATATGACGTAGCGGTAGCACCAAATAAATTTCAGAGGATTATGGAAGTTCTATTTGCTTATTTGCCAGGTGTGGCCTGCTACATAGATTATATTTTGGTTGCAGGAAAAGACTTTGAAGATTATGAACAAAAGTTGGATCTAGTGTTTAGATGATTTCTAGAAAAAGGTTCAAAGTTAAACAGATATAAATGTAAATTTAAAAAGAAATCGGTGGAATATTTAGGGTTTAAAATGGATAAATATAGACTGCATCCCTTAGAAAATAAAATTCTTTAGGTTCAGGCGCCTCTATCACTGCTTTAATGTTTCGCAATTAAGATCTTTCATAGGACTCTTAATTTATTATAATAGATTCATAAAGAATATAGCAAACATTTTAGCGCTATTCTATCAACTTTTGAATAAAAATTGTAGATGGAATTGGACGAAAGAATATCGAATGTTATTTGAAAAATGTAAATCATTATTAATGGACTATGGACTAGGCGTAATTCTGAGTCATATAAATGATAGAAAGGTAAAATGCCCTATAGCTTTTGCTTCTAGAACACTAACTGAAGCGGAAAAACGTTTCTCTCAACTAGAAAAGAAAGCGTTGAGCATAACTTATGGCGTTGAGAAATTCAGAAAATACTTACTGGGACGAAAATTTGTATTGGTCACAGACAACCGACCCTTAATTCATATATTTTCACCTCATAAACCAATTCCCATATGTGTATTATCTAGAATTAAAAGATGGTCCTTAAAATTAGCTGCATTTAATTATACTGTGGAATTTCAAAAAACTAGTGATAATTCCAATGTTACGCATTGTCACGTCTTCCTTTAGAATCGAGTGTCAGGGAGTCTCTTGATGAAGACCAGGTACTTCTTCTTTGGAAGTTGAATGAGGTACCGTTCTCTTTTATGGAGGTGGCATATGAGACGCCCCAAGATAAAACACTGTCTATAGTATTAAGGAATGTTAGAGAAGGCCACTGTGTGTGTGGAAATTCACAAGGGTACCGAGAGAAAACCCACTAGCTCCTCATTATAAGATCAATGAGGAATTAAGTTTGGAGTTTGGTTGTCTTCAATGGCGTGAAAGAGTGGTAATTCCCCAAAAATTAAGATCTTTAATTTTAAATGACTTGCATGAAATACACATGGGGATTGTTAAAATGAAGATGATTGCCAGACGGTATTTTCTGGTGGTCAGGCATAGACAGTAACATCGAGGAGTTAACTAGAGAATGTAGAGTATGCCAAGAATCGGCAAGCATGCCCCCGGCTACCATCTCGGAATGGACTTGGCCCGAAAAACCGTGGCATCGACTTCATCTTGATCTAGCGGGTCCGTTCATGGGAAGAATGTTTTTGGTTCTCGTGGACGCATACTCAAAGGGGATAGAAATTTTTATCATCAAAGATATTACCAGAAAAACTATTATAAGTCATCTTAGAGAAATTCTCGCCAGAATTGGATTGCCCTAATTTTTTGTTACAGATAACGGAAGACAGTTTGTCTCCGGTGAATTCGAGCAATTTACCAAAATGAATGGTATACGGCACACTAAGACCAGTCCGTATAATCCTAGTACAAATGGTTTAGCTGAGAGATATGTAAGAGAGTTTAAAAACCTTTTGAGAAAGAATAATGGGAAGGATGATTTAGAGACGAATCTACAAAGTTTCCTATTTGCTCATCGAGCATTCCCCCAAACTGTAATAAAGGAATTCCCCGGCGGAACTGCTAATGAAGAGAAGTTTAAGATCAAGATTCTGTAAAAAAATAATGGCTAGAAATAGGTTCGAAGCAATTTTGTCAATGCTTCACCTGGCTGATAATTCTTCCTATATTCCTTTTGGACAAAGTGGACATGATCCTCTATATAAAATAAGAACTTTTCTAGATCCTCTTACCAAAAAATTCCAATGCCTTTATTCCCCGACCCAGAATCTGACCATTGATGAAGCTATTTGTCCATTCAGAGGAAGAATAAGGTTCCGTATTTACATAAAAGGCAAGCCTCACAAATATGGAATAAAGATCTACCATATTTGTGAAGCCAATTCTGGTTATACCTGTAATATCAACATATACACAGGTAAACATCCAAGCCAGGAAGAAGGCTATAACTCTATACCAAATTTGGTAGAACGATTGGCCTCTCATCTCTTCAACAGAGGTCACATCATTTATTGTGACAGGTGGTTTTCTTCGCCCCACCTCTTCAACTATCTATGGGAAAAGAATACAATGGCTGTTGGTACAGTAAAAACTAATAGGAAAGGTCTTCCTAAGAAATCCTTTTCAAAAAAATTGAAGAAAGGTGAAGAAATGCATCTATTCAAGGGTAGCCTAATGGCAATGAAATGGCGCCACACCAGAGATGTTTGGATGATCTCAACTGTTCACGACCATCAAATGGTTGAAGTCATGGGGAGACCTGGACTTTCGCAAGCTCCAATATTCAAACCACAAGTTGTTCTTGACTACAATAAGAATAAAATTGGAGTGGACCGAAGTGACCAGATGCTCTCCTATTATTCTTTTGATCGACGCACAATGAAATGGTGGAAGAAACTATTTTTCCATATATATGGACTTGCTATTGTAAATTCATGCATAATTTACAATTAATTGAATCCTGATGCTAAAATGTCTTTGAGGGACTTCCATATTTCAATATGCGAAGCTCTTTGCTCAGAAGCCAATCAAGATATTCTTGATGCTCAACCTTCAAGCGGTGAACAATCTGATCCACTTATTAGACGTCATTTTATTCGCCGAATCAAAGTTGAAGGCAAAACATATGCCCAACGCAGATGCAAAGTTTGCGCTGAAAAAGGCAGGGTAACCACTGGCAAGCAGGCAAGAAAAGATACAGCCTATGAATGTGAGACCTGCCTAGTTCCACTATGCCTTGGTGATTGCTTCAAACTGTACCATACAATAAAAGATTATTATAAGGTATAAAAATTATTTTATCGCATTAAATTATTGTATATATATATAAATTACTTCATTTTTTAAAAAATAAATGTCATTTTCATTATATAAATTTATTTTTGGATCATTTTTGAGTTGGAGTGATTTTCATTTTTTAAATAAAATTTTGATTTTTTCTAAATTTAATAATAAAATATATATTGAATTTATTTTTAAAATGTATCTTTTATAATGTTTTCAACACTTATTTTTACCATTATTACAATTAATATTTCATTTGGATCATGCTTAAAGTATTTTTCAAAATTTTCAAAAATTACACTTTTTTGCTGGGCCGAGGGGGCCGTAATAGTATTTCAGCTGAGCTAATTCAAGCAAACCGCATCTAAAATATCAGGTTTTTTTTTTGCTACATGTTTTAATTTACATATACCTATTTTACATATCTCAGATCCTGGTTCAAATTCACGTAAATAGGTACCGCTCAGCAAGAGCAACCTAGTTCATGATAATTGAACAATGAATAATATGTGAAGATTATTCACATATTAAACAAAATATAAAAGCGGGATTCAATCCCGGTTCATGACTGTCGGGAATCGAGGGGGTTACCCACTCGTCAGCGTGGTGCAAGCTGTACCTCAACATTTTAATTTTTTTTTACTATTTAAAAATCGTTAACCATTTCTTCTAACTTTTGGCGAAATGGTGTTTTATTATTTTATCATTTGATATTATTAGGGTTCTTTCCTGGTATTCAAAAAGAAAAAATACGTGTCGTTCAGTTATATTTTTTAATTTATCAAACAATTTGGCCGCTGAATCGCTGATTCTGGTAGAGCGCCATCTAGCGAATAAAGTTGTAACTAAAATCAATTTCAAATTTTTCATTATTTGCCATAAAAAATCCCATTGCATCCTGAACACAATGGTGTTTACCGCATTGCTCTAGCGCAAATATTCGCGGAGTTATTAATTTTTAAAGTTGTGCGGGACTTTTGGATCACCCTGTATTTGACTGTTATACAGTACAAAAAACCGAGACGATGATACTATTTTGACAGTAGTACAGCCGTTAAAATAAAGCGAGGCGAAGAAAATATTTCGATCGTGGTGCAGTATTTATAAGAAGTCGAAGGATTGATACTTTATTGACAGTGGTACAGTAGTTACAAAAAGGCGAGGTGATGATATTTTATTAACAGTAGTACAGTAGTTACAAGATAACGAGTCGATGATACTTTATTGAAAGTGGTACAGTAGTTATTAGAAAGAGAGGCAATGATTCCTTATTTAAAGTGGTTCGTGGTTGAAAAAAAAAGCGATACGATGATATTTTATTGGCAGTAGTACAGTAGTTACAAGAAGGCGAGGCGATGACACTTCATTGACAGGGATAAAGTATTTACAAGAAGGAAAGGCGAAGGCACTATATTGACAATGGTAAAATAGTTTCTTGAAGGCGAGGTGATGATATTTTATTGAGAGTGGTAAAGTAGTTAAGAAAAGGCGAGGTGATGACACTTTATTGACAATTGCACAATATTTTCTAGAAGGCGAGGCGATGGTACTTTATTGACATTTGAACATTAGTTACAAGAAAGCGAGACGATGATATTCTTTTGGCAGTGGTACATTAGTTACAAGAAGACTAGGCAATGATACTTTATTGACAGTGCTACAGTAGTTACAAAAAATACATTGATAATTTATTGATATTGATACAGTATTTTGAAAAAGAGGAGGCGATGATAGTTTATTGATAGTGGTACATTAATTGCTAGAAGTTGAGTCGAAGAAACTTTATTCACAGTAAACAGTAGTTATTAAAGGCGAGGGGGTGATACTTTATTGACAGCGGAACAGTAGTTACAATAAAGAAAGACGCAGATATTTTTTTGACAATAGTAGAGTAGTTACATGAAGGCGAGACGATGATATTTTATTGACAATGGTACAGTAGTTATAAGAAAGCGAGGCGTTTTTTCCATTTTATTGACAGTAGTACAGTAGTAACATGAAAGCGAGACGATGATACTTTATTGAAATTGGTACAGTAGTTACCAGTAGACGAGAAGATGATACTATTTTGACAGTGGTATATTAGTCACAAGAAGGCTAGGCGATGATACTTTATTGATAGTAGTACAGTATTTATAAGAAGGCGAAGCGATAATATTTTTTTTTACAGTGGTACAGTAGTTAGAAATGCTTGAGGGGATGATATTTATTTACAGTATTTCAGTTGTTACAAGTAGGCAAAAATCAGATTATTATTGACAGTAGTACAAAGTTAAAAGAAATCGAGGCGAAGACAATTTTTTGACCGTGGTACAGTATTTACAAGAAGTCGAAGGGTTGATACTTCATTGAGAGTGGTACAGTATTTGCAATAAAGCCAGGCATTGATATTTTATTGACAGTGGTAAAGAAGTTACGAAAAGGCGAGACATTGACATTTTATTGACAGTGGTACAGTAGTTACAAGAAGGCGAAGCGAAGATAATTTATCGGCAGTAGTACAGTATAAACAAGAGGTCGAAGGGTTTATACTTTATTGACAGTAGTGAAGGAGTTACAAGAAGGCGAGGCGATGATACACTGCGTGACATTGAAAATGGAACACCAAGAAATAGTGGCCAGAAAATTATGCAAATTTCAGGGTAGACGCGCCTAACCGAGTTATGCAAATGATGTAAAATGCGCAGCTCTCGTGCGCACATGGAGTAAGATATAAGGGAAGGAACTTGCAGAAAGGACAGTATTCGTGGCGTTATTTCTTCAAGGAAAATCATTGTAGAAATTTTGTTCTTGTGTCAAAAGACACGTGTAATAACAGATAATGCCAGGTCATCGTAAACGGAGGCAGTTCAAGCAGACAGACGCTTTTACGAGGGGCATGGTGATCGGACTGAAAGGGCATGTTGGTCCATACATCAAATCGCAGCTGATACACACCTTGGTGCGTCCACGGTGCACCGACTGTGGAGAAGATGGTTGGAACAAGGAAATGTGGCAATTTATAGGAATGTCGGTGCAACCAGAGTGACGTCAGCACGTGTGGATCGGCGTATCCTTCGACAAGCAGTGGCGGCCCCACAAGCCACTTGTACCGCCATCCTGCAACATGTGCAAGACACCCTAGATCATTCCATCTCGACCAGAACCATTTCCCGTCGATTGGTTGCTAATGGCTTGCACTCATGCCGTCCGCTAAGAAGACTGCCATTGACCCCACCGAATAGGCGCCAACGTTTGGAATGGTGCCGGGCTAGATCGACGTGGATGACGGAATGGCACAGGGTCGTGTTCTCAGATGAGTCGCGTTTCTGCTTGTCCAGTGATAGTCGCCGTGTGCGCGTGTGGCGTCGACGTGGAGAAAGGTCCAATCCGGCAGCAATTGTGGAACGCCCCACCGTGCGACAACGTGGAATCATGGTTTGGGGCGCAATCGCGTATGATTCCAGGTCACCTTTACTTCGTATTCAGGGCACTATGACGGCCCAACGATACGTTGATGATGTGCTGCGACCGGTGACACTCCCCTACCTTCAGGGGGTACCCAATGCCCTTTATCAGTAGGATAACGCCCGAACGCACACTGCTCGCATTAGCCAACAAGCTCTGCAAGATGTACAGATGCTTCCCTGGCCACCGTACTCTCCTGATCTCTCACCAATCGAGCACGTCTGGGACATCATTGGACGCCGTTTGCATGCCTTGCCACAGCCGCGTTCAGAAGACGAACTGTGGCAAATGGTTGAGAGGGAATGGAGAGCCATTCCTCAGGACGCCATCCGTACTCTGATTGACTCTCTACCTAGACGTGTTGCTGCGTACATCGCCGTCCGCGTGATCCTACTTGCTACTAAGCCGACGCCGTTCTCGCTCTGTATTATGACTATCATTTTGAAATAAAGATCACTTATTGTTCGTCCCTGTCTCTCTCTGTCTGCCGAGTTTCATCACTTTCTGGCCACTATTTCTTGGTGTTCCATTTTCAATGTCACGCAGTGTATTATATTGCCAGTCGTACAGTAGTTACAACATTGAGAGGCGATGACACTTTATTGACAATGGTACAGTAATTACTAGAAGGCAAGGCGATGACTCTTTATTGACAGTGTTACAGTAGTTACAAGAAGGCGAGGCGATGACACTTTATTGACAGTGATACAGTATTTACAAGAAAGAAAGGCGATGACACTATATTGAAAATGGTAAAATAGTTTCTTGAAGGCGAGGTGGTGATACTTTATTGACAGTGGTACAGTAGTTAAGAAAAGACGAGGTGATGACACTTTATTGACAATGGCACAATAGTTTCTAGAAGAGGAGGTGATGATATTTATTGACAGTGGTACAGTAGTTACAAGGAAGCGAGTCGATGATACTTTATTAAAAGTGGTACAGTAGTTACTTGAAGGAGAGGCAATGATATTTTAATGACAGTGGTACATGGGTAAAAGAAAGCGATAAGATGATATATTAGTGACAGTTGTACAGTAGATACAAGAAAGCGTGACTACGATACTATTTTGACAGTGGTATATTAGGCACAAGAAGGCTAAGCGATGATACTTTATTGACAGTGGTACAGTAGTTACAAATACTCGAGGGGTGATATTTTATACACCATAGTACAGTTGTTAAAAGAAAGTAAAAAGCAGTTATTTTTTCACAGTGGTATAGTCGTTACTAGAAGGCGAGGCGATGATACTTTATTGACAGAGGTGCAGTAGTTACAAGAAGACGAGGTGATGTTACTTTATTGACAGTGTTACAGTAGTTACAAGAAGGCGAGGCGATGACACTTTATTGACAGTGATACAGTATTTACAAGAAAGAAAGGCGATGACACTATATTGAAAATGGTAAAATAGTTTCTTGAAGGCGAGGTGGTGATACTTTATTGACAGTGGTACAGTAGTTAAGAAAAGACGAGGTGATGACACTTTATTGACAATGGCACAATAGTTTCTAGAAGAGGAGGTGATGATATTTATTGACAGTGGTACAGTAGTTACAAGGAAGCGAGTCGATGATACTTTATTAAAAGTGGTACAGTAGTTACTTGAAGGAGAGGCAATGATATTTTAATGACAGTGGTACATGGGTAAAAGAAAGCGATAAGATGATATATTAGTGACAGTTGTACAGTAGATACAAGAAAGCGTGACTACGATACTATTTTGACAGTGGTATATTAGGCACAAGAAGGCTAAGCGATGATACTTTATTGACAGTGGTACAGTAGTTACAAATACTCGAGGGGTGATATTTTATACACCATAGTACAGTTGTTAAAAGAAAGTAAAAAGCAGTTATTTTTTCACAGTGGTATAGTCGTTACTAGAAGGCGAGGCGATGATACTTTATTGACAGAGGTGCAGTAGTTACAAGAAGACGAGGTGATGTTACTTTATTGACAGTGTTACAGTAGTTACAAGAAGGCGAGGCGATGACACTTTATTGACAGTGATACAGTATTTACAAGAAAGAAAGGCGATGACACTATATTGAAAATGGTAAAATAGTTTCTTGAAGGCGAGGTGGTGATACTTTATTGACAGTGGTACAGTAGTTAAGAAAAGACGAGGTGATGACACTTTATTGACAATGGCACAATAGTTTCTAGAAGAGGAGGTGATGATATTTATTGACAGTGGTACAGTAGTTACAAGGAAGCGAGTCGATGATACTTTATTAAAAGTGGTACAGTAGTTACTTGAAGGAGAGGTATTGATATTTTAATGACAGTGGTACATGGGTAAAAGAAAGCGATAAGATGATATATTAGTGACAGTTGTACAGTAGATACAAGAAAGCGTGACTACGATACTATTTTGACAGTGGTATATTAGGCACAAGAAGGCTAAGCGATGATACTTTATTGACAGTGGTACAGTAGTTACAAATACTCGAGGGGTGATATTTTATACACCATAGTACAGTTGTTAAAAGAAAGTAAAAAGCAGTTATTTTTTCACAGTGGTATAGTCGTTACTAGAAGGCGAGGCGATGATACTTTATTGACAGAGGTGCAGTAGTTACAAGAAGACGAGGTGATGTTACTTTATTGACAGTGGCACAGTAGTTAAAAGAGGGCAAGGCGATGATACTTTATTAACACTGGTGCAATATTTAAAAGAGGGCGAGGAAGTGATACTTTATTGAAACAGGTCAGGTAATAACAAGAAAGTAAGACAATTATACACACACACACACAAGCCTTTATTATTGGGGCATCCAGCCCTATACATGATTCCCCTCTACAGGATTTAGCAAAGGAAGATATTTCAAAAGTAAAAACTAGAATACAAGAAGTAATAAGGAAAGAGAGAAGAAAGAAAAAACAAACAAAAATAATTATAATCATATATACAAAAATAAGCATACAGAGCAAAAGGAACCTTACATGATTAAATATTTAAATTAAAGTACTAATGTTTAGAATATGTCAAGTTTGGGATATCATTGAGAGGGCTAGTGTGGAATCAGCCGCATTCAATCTTCGTTTTCTTCCTCCAAGCAAACCACGACATTCGGCGAATCCATTATTCTCCAACGGACATTGACTGCGGCCTTGTAGAGTTTATATAAACCGAGGGTGAGACCCTGATCAACCATCAGTGTGTTCATCCAGCTGCAAATATGTTGGCAATCAGGTTGAGACCAGGGTAAGTCACCCAAAATTTCTTTCCTCTGTTTCTCTAAGCAAGAGCATTCAAATATTATACGCATAATTTCGTCTTGGATTCTGTTTTTACACAAATCGCAAGTTAGAGTCAAATCAATCTTCCAGGGTTTTGAACGATTTTCTGGGAAGATCGTCCAAAGGAGTCTCAGTTGTGCAAAAAATATTTTAATTACTAGAGGAATAGTTGTGAATAAATATCGTTCTGCTGTTATTGAATTTTTTAGGTATTTGAAGTGACTGTAATGTGAAGTATTTAGAATTTTCGCCATGTCGTTTTGGATGCTTTGTTCGGTTGCTATTCGAATTATAGCAGGGATTTCAGTCAGTATTGCAGTGTAATCCGGACAACCCTTCAGGAACGAAAAACCGTTTGAGTCTAAAATGGTTGACAGGTTTTCGACAAAGGTTAAACCAGCCCTTTGATTGCTGTGTAATTTCCAGAGGTGTGACAAACATGCCCGGGGCAACCTACTCTCTTCCATTTTCATAATCCTCACCCAAAATCTCAGGACCTGTTTAGTTATAATAACTTCCTGTGATACTCGTCCACACTCCATTCTTAGCATAAACCCCGGAGTATACTTTGGTAAAATTTAGGTAGCGTCTTAGGAAAATATTCTGAACCTGGTCAACTACCTTTACTTGGTTGAGTGCCCAGCAGGGTGCGGCGTATAGCATGTGAGGCAAGACCGTCGAATCAAGTAATCTCATTGCCGCATTTAGAGAGTTCATCTTGGATTTTGCCAGAACTTGCCACACAGCGCCAATTGCTGCCAGGGCTTTGCCCTTGTAGTGTGACGCTACCTTGTTTAGTGAATTTGAATATTGCTTAAGAGCGCTATGCCTCGATAGTAAGAGGGGTCGTCTGGATCACCATTCTTAAAAATTGGTTGAATAACTGATTTCAACCATGTTGTCGGAAATTCAGACGTTCTCAAAATTCTATTGAATATATCCTTTAAGGAAGTTAGATAATTTTTTGGGAGGGCCTTTATTGCTTCATTCATTATGTCGTCAAAACCAGTCGCCTTGCCATGGCTTATTCGAGAAATTTCTTTGCTTATTTCATTAAGAGTTATGCATTTAGTTAGCTCATTATCTGTATTTAAGAAGGTCATAGTAACGGGTTCGTAATCTGGTATTGATTCTGTATCCAGGAGTTTATTGTAAAATTGCTGCCAGTCCGATAATGAGATATTGCCCTGTGTATAGTTTCTTTTTCTGAAGCGAGCTATTGTTTTCCAGAATTCACTTGAATCGTATGTATTATTTAATTTTTCTTGTATTTCACAAAAATATTTTTTCTTTTTATTGTTAATAATCGATGTATATTTGTTCCTTGTTTTAACATATTCTAAACGATCTAGATCCCTATTTGATTTAATATATTTTGTCAGAGTTGCTTTCATAATCTTTTTCGCTATGTAGCACTCATGATCAAACCAAGGCTTCGACAGTAAGTTATTCGCTTTTATTTCAATTTGCATACCATTTTGTACCATTGCGCTTTTGATCTGCTTAACCATGTTGTTCATTATATTCTCAATCGAGTTATTCCAAAATCCATAAGCTCCTCCTAAGTCCTCTACAAATAGCGTTACTCTTTCGGGTAACCATATATATTTTTTCTTTACCCGTGAAGTCGGGCTCGTCACTTGTTTCGGTCCCCAACTCATATCCATTTTTATAATTAGAGGTAAGTGATCTGAGTGTGGTAATCCCTCGATGTATAGGTCATGTACGTAACCTAACAGCCCATGGGAGACAATACAGTAGTCTACCACCGAGGATCCCCGTGCTGATATGTATGTGTAGTTACCACTTCTGTCACCCCTTGTTCTGCCGTTCAAAATTGTAAGAGTATTATTATCCAATCTATCTATGAATTGTTCTGAATGCGTATACAGGGTGATCCAAAAGTCCCGCACAACTTTAAAAATTAATAACTCCGCGAATATTTGCGCTAGAGCAATGCGGTAAACACCATTGTGTTCAGGATGCAATGGGATTTTTTATGGCAAATAATGAAAAATTTGAAATTGATTTTAGTTACAACTTTATTCGCTAGATGGCGCTCTACCAGAATCAGCGATTCAGCGGCCAAATTGTTTGATAAATTAAAAAATATAACTGAACGACACGTATTTTTTCTTTTTGAATACCAGGAAAGAACCCTAATAATATCAAATGATAAAATAATAAAACACCATTTCGCCAAAAGTTAGAAGAAATGGTTAACGATTTTTAAATAGTAAAAAAAAATTAAAATGTTGAGGTACAGCTTGCACCACGCTGACGAGTGGGTAACCCCCTCGATTCCCGACAGTCATGAACCGGGATTGAATCCCGCTTTTATATTTTGTTTAATATGTGAATAATCTTCACATATTATTCATTGTTCAATTATCATGAACTAGGTTGCTCTTGCTGAGCGGTACCTATTTACGTGAATTTGAACCAGGATCTGAGATATGTAAAATAGGTATATGTAAATTAAAACATGTAGCAAAAAAAAAAAAAAACCTGATATTTTAGATGCGGTTTGCTTGAATTAGCTCAGCTGAAATACTATTACGGCCCCCTCGGCCCAGATAAAAAGTGTAATTTTTGAAAATTTTGAAAATACTTTAAGCATGATCCAAATGAAATATTAATTGTAATAATGGTAAAAATAAGTGTTGAAAACATTATAAAAGAGATACATTTTAAAAATAAATTCAATATATATTTTATTATTAAATTTAGAAAAAATCAAAATTTTATTCAAAAAATGAAAATCACTCCAACTCAAAAATGATCCAAAAATAAATTTATATAATGAAAATGACATTTATTTTTTAAAAAATGAAGTAATTTATATATATATACAATAATTTAATGCGATAAAATAATTTTTATACCTTATAATAATCTTTTATTGTATGGTACAGTTTGAAGCAATCACCAAGGCATAGTGGAACTAGGCAGGTCTCACATTCATAGGCTGTATCTTTTCTTGCCTGCTTGCCAGTGGTTACCCTGCCTTTTTCAGCGCAAACTTTGCATCTGCGTTGGGCATATGTTTTGCCTTCAACTTTGATTCGGCGAATAAAATGACGTCTAATAAGTGGATCAGATTGTTCACCGCTTGAAGGTTGAGCATCAAGAATATCTTGATTGGCTTCTGAGCAAAGAGCTTCGCATATTGAAATATGGAAGTCCCTCAAAGACATTTTAGCATCAGGATTCAATTAATTGTAAATTATGCATGAATTTACAATAGCAAGTCCATATATATGGAAAAATAGTTTCTTCCACCATTTCATTGTGCGTCGATCAAAAGAATAATAGGAGAGCATCTGGTCACTTCGGTCCACTCCAATTTTATTCTTATTGTAGTCAAGAACAACTTGTGGTTTGAATATTGGAGCTTGCGAAAGTCCAGGTCTCCCCATGACTTCAACCATTTGATGGTCGTGAACAGTTGAGATCATCCAAACATCTCTGGTGTGGCGCCATTTCATTGCCATTAGGCTACCCTTGAATAGATGCATTTCTTCACCTTTCTTCAATTTTTTTGAAAAGGATTTCTTAGGAAGACCTTTCCTATTAGTTTTTACTGTACCAACAGCCATTGTATTCTTTTCCCATAGATAGTTGAAGAGGTGGGGCGAAGAAAACCACCTGTCACAATAAATGATGTGACCTCTGTTGAAGAGATGAGAGGCCAATCGTTCTACCAAATTTGGTATAGAGTTATAGCCTTCTTCCTGGCTTGGATGTTTACCTGTGTATATGTTGATATTACAGGTATAACCAGAATTGGCTTCACAAATATGGTAGATCTTTATTCCATATTTGTGAGGCTTGCCTTTTATGTAAATACGGAACCTTATTCTTCCTCTGAATGGACAAATAGCTTCATCAATGGTCAGATTCTGGGTCGGGGAATAAAGGCATTGGAATTTTTTGGTAAGAGGATCTAGAAAAGTTCTTATTTTATATAGAGGATCATGTCCACTTTGTCCAAAAGGAATATAGGAAGAATTATCAGCCAGGTGAAGCATTGACAAAATTGCTTCGAACCTATTTCTAGCCATTATTTTTTTACAGAATCTTGATCTTAAACTTCTCTTCATTAGCAGTTCCGCCGGGGAATTCCTTTATTACAGTTTGGGGGAATGCTCGATGAGCAAATAGGAAACTTTGTAGATTCGTCTCTAAATCATCCTTCCCATTATTCTTTCTCAAAAGGTTTTTAAACTCTCTTACATATCTCTCAGCTAAACCATTTGTACTAGGATTATACGGACTGGTCTTAGTGTGCCGTATACCATTCATTTTGGTAAATTGCTCGAATTCACCGGAGACAAACTGTCTTCCGTTATCTGTAACAAAAAATTAGGGCAATCCAATTCTGGCGAGAATTTCTCTAAGATGACTTATAATAGTTTTTCTGGTAATATCTTTGATGATAAAAATTTCTATCCCCTTTGAGTATGCGTCCACGAGAACCAAAAACATTCTTCCCATGAACGGACCCGCTAGATCAAGATGAAGTCGATGCCACGGTTTTTCGGGCCAAGTCCATTCCGAGATGGTAGCCGGGGGCATGCTTGCCGATTCTTGGCATACTCTACATTCTCTAGTTAACTCCTCGATGTTACTGTCTATGCCTGACCACCAGAAAATACCGTCTGGCAATCATCTTCATTTTAACAATCCCCATGTGTATTTCATGCAAGTCATTTAAAATTAAAGATCTTAATTTTTGGGGAATTACCACTCTTTCACGCCATTGAAGACAACCAAACTCCAAATTTAATTCCTCATTGATCTTATAATGAGGAGCTAGTGGGTTTTCTCTCGGTACCCTTGTGAATTTCCACACACACAGTGGCCTTCTCTAACATTCCTTAATACTATAGACAGTGTTTTATCTTGGGGCGTCTCATATGCCACCTCCATAAAAGAGAACGGTACCTCATTCAACTTCCTAAGAAGAAGTACCTGGTCTTCATCAAGAGACTCCCTGACACTCGATTCTAAAGGAAGACGTGACAATGCGTAACATTGGAATTATCACTAGTTTTTTGAAATTCCACAGTTTAATTAAATGCAGCTAATTTTAAGGACCATCTTTTAATTCTAGATAATACACATATGGGAATTGGTTTATGAGGTGAAAATATATGAATTTAAGGGTCGGTTGTCTGTGACCAATACAAATTTTCGTCCCAGTAAGTATTTTCTGAATTTCTCAACGCCATAAGTTATGCTCAACGCTTTCTTTTCTAGTTGAGAGAAACGTTTTCCGCTTCAGTTAGTGTTCTAGAAGCAAAAGCTATAGGGCATTTTACCTTTCTATCATTTATATGACTCAGAATTACGCCTAGTCCATAGTCCATTAATAATGATTTACATTTTTCAAATAACATTCGATATTCTTTCGTCCAATTCCATCTACAATTTTTATTCAAAAGTTGATAGAATAGCGCTAAAATGTTTGCTATATTCTTTATGAATCTATTATAATAAATTAAGAGTCCTATGAAAGATCTTAATTGCGAAACATTAAAGCAGTGATAGAGGCGCCTGAACCTAAAGAATTTTATTTTCTAAGGGATGCATTCTATATTTATCCATTTTAAACCCTAAATATTCCACCGATTTCTTTTTAAATTTACATTTATATCTGTTTAACTTTGAACCTTTTTCTAGAAATCATCTAAACACTAGATCCAACTTTTGTTCATAATCTTCAAAGTCTTTTCCTGCAACCAAAATATAATCTATGTAGCAGGCCACACCTGGCAAATAAGCAAATAGAACTTCCATAATCCTCTGAAATTTATTTGGTGCTGCCGCTACGTCATATGGTAGTCTTTTATAAGAAAACAACCTCTTTGTTACGTTTATATCAACAACAGCTTTGGCTTCTTCCGCTAACATTACTCGTAATTAAGCCTGTGATAGGTCTAGAGTCGAAAGTACGGTGCTTGTAGATAATTTTGAAAATATCTCATCGATCGATGGAATGGGATACCTATCAAATTCTATTGCTTTATTAGCTGTACATCTAAAATAACCACATTTACTTACACTACTATCCTTTTTTAATACCGGGACTATTGGAGCGGTCCAATATGCTTGAACTATTCTATATATAGTTACGAGCGTCATTCCTCATCTCCTAATCAACAATCAGTCATCAGTTTTCATCTCTGTCACCGTTTGCTTTTTTTTTGGAATGGCGCCCTCCTATTGGTTGGCTACGGTCACGCCACCTTTGCCCCCCCCACTCGCCTTTTCGTTTATGTAATTATTGTGTTGGTGCGGGTCGCTCCTTAAATAAATGCATATATTAGTTAATAACCAAATGGAATCCTCTCTTTCTTTTTCCCTGTAAGAGACGCCTACGGAAGCCAACAGTACATAGACAAATAAAGCACATAGGCTATAGTTATTAACTAACATATGCATTTATTTAAGGCGCCAATTTATAATTGTAACAAATAGTATTTGAATCAAAACATTCTATCGGGTAAAACACGGGCGTTGCCCCGGTCATTCGGCTAGTAGGTTATAAAATGCAAGAATTCACTAAACGATCAATTTCATTTTCTACTTTGTTTTTTAGAGAGAAAGGTAAACTTCTGGCCTTACAAAACACAGGAGTCATATCCTTTTTTAAATTAAAATTTATTTTTACATCCTTTAGACAGCCTAAATCTTTGTGTTAAACAAATGTGCATATCTATCAATCAAACTATTTCTATTAGATTCATTATTTAAATTTTTAATGCTAAACAATCTCGAATAATCAAGTTTTAACTGTTTAAGCCATTCTTTTTCTAACAAAATCACCTGGAATTTTCATTTATAACTATTAATCGTAAATATTGGTTGGCTTTTTTACAAAAACATTTATTTGCCCTATAATCTCTATTGATTTACCACAAAAAGATTTTAATCTTAAATTTGTTGGAAATAATTTTTTACCTTGCCAATAATTCTTATAAATATCTTTAGGTATTAACGTAACTGGACTTTTTGTATTTATTGTAAATCACAAAGAATAATATTCTACTGTTAAATTTTTTGTGGCATCAGTTTCGTCCTATAAAGAATATATAGAGTCCTCTTGTACAAATTTACATCCCCACATTTTTTACTAGCTTTGAAGACCCAACTTAAATTACCCAGTTTTTTACATTTTAAAACAAGTCTTTGTTCTATGAGGGCAAACAGAGGCCACGTGTGAATGTCTTTCACCACATCTACAACACAATATTTCTCCTCTTTGCTTGAAAGGCCTATGCTGCGCCGTATTATTATTGTACTCACACTTTTTATCCTTTCCATTCACAGGGGATATCTTGGCCAATAATTTATCTTGTAATTCTCTTGTATTTATCTCCGCCAGTTCGAACGAGATCGCCACTGCAAAACTTTATCCAGGGTGACATCGTCGTTTTCTTGTAGTAGCTTCTTTTGCAGGCTTTTTCCAACTTGATTCCAGCCACAAAACGGTCTCGCATCATGGTTCCCAGCATATCGCCGAAATTACAATTTATTGCTAAATGTTTCAATTCTCTAAGATATTCCGAAATTGATTCTCCTTCCTGTTGAATTTTCTTCAAAAATCTGCATCGTTGTGGTATCACTTTCTTCTTTGGATCCAAATGCAGATTAATTCTTTGAATGATAGTATCATAGGGTTGATCTTTCATTAGACCAGGAAGAAAATGTCGTTTCCCTGCTTCAAAGTTTCAGAATCTGGTAGCGAGGTAAAAATCAGCACTTTAATCTCCTCCTTCAGATGCCAAAAAGAAAGCCTCAAATTTTTGTACAAAAAGATCGAAGTGTCCTCCACTGGGCTATAGCATCTAAAAGGAACTATTAACTTTGAACTTGTCATGCTGATCTTTTATACTCCTTTGTTTTCTTGATCCATATAGTTTGAAAGATGTAGTTGTTATACTTGCATAGACGCCGTTTTCCTCAGCTTTTTACTGGCTCTGTAGATCGCGCATCCTCGTCGCCACTTTTGTTGTGTCGTAATTAGACGTACAAGAGCTCAAACTTGACCATGGCCAACAACAAATGTCCAATTTATATATACATATATTTTTACATAATGAGGCTTTAAATAATACAAATAATATTCATCTATTTACATAAACAACAGTTAATATATAGCGAGAAGAGTAGAGGACTGAGCACGGATCCCTGAGGTACACCAGCCCATGTTCTTCGGTCCTTGGTAAATGTTCCATTGACCCGAACCTTTATCCTTCTTCCCCTTAAGAAGTCTGCAATCCAGATTAAGGTTTTCCTCTTACTCCGATGTTGTGCAGCCTTTCAAATAATTTCTACACTCGATCAAAAGCTGAGGTCATATCCAGGAATACGGCCGTTGTCTTCTTTGGCGGTTTTTCCTAGAAATCTATTATTGATTGGCAGAAGTAGAACACTTTATCAGTTGTACAGTGTCTGGATCTTTAGACAGTTTGGTAAAAGTTTATTTTATTATTGTTAGTGAGCCAGACTATGAGCCTAGAGTGGATAATTCATTCTGTTATTTTACAAAGCAATTGGCCGATAGTTCTTGCATTCCTTGGCATCTTTGTTTGGTTTCAGTATTGGCACTATAATTGATATCTTCCAATTCTTTGGTAGTTTACCAGTTTGCCATGAAATCTTCAGTATTCGTGGGAGGTGATTTTTAGCTTCGTCTCCAAAGTGTTTAATCATTTGACCAAAGATTAGAGCATCTCCAGGTGACATCTTGGATTTAACTTTCCTATTGATGAGTTTAGCTCATTCAGTGTGAAGTCTCTCGAGTAAATATCTTGTTGATGGTAATTTTTGCTTGTTTAACTAACCTGTTTACATTATATTTTAGAGTCCTGCCTTCATTCGTATAGCTGAGTCTGGAAGTGCTTGAAAGATATTCAGCAATTATTTCAGCCATCTGTTTGTTCGTTCTCGCTATTCATATCGATTAGAGTATTGGAGGATTAGTGTTGGTTTTGATTGTCTTATAACGCTAATTATATTCCAGTGATGGCTTTCCTCTTTTGGATCCATTTTTTTTTCGCAGAATTCTGCCCATTTTTCTTGTTTAAATATCCAAATTTCTTATTCTATTTTGTGACTAATTTCAATGAGTTCTTTTATGATTTCTTCTGTTTTATTTGTTTTAAGAAGTTCATTGATATTGTCTCTCTCTGCAATCATTGCCTCGACATTGTGGTCCTTCCAGTAAAGTATTCACAGGTCTCTACGTCTACCTCTAGGTATCGATAATTTTGCAGCTTTGGATATGTTCGAAGAGAATTTTTCCAAATTTTTGTCAATCGTTCTGTGATTTAATTATTCGTTGCACAGTTCTTCGAGCTTTTTTTGTGTGTGATTTTTTTTACAGTATTCTTCTATTCTGTTGGAAATTATCAATTTTGAATTTTAGGGTTGTTAAAATTGGTCTGTGGTCACTGATTGCACTTTCAGAATTTTTCATTGTGTTGTGGGTGCGATGTTGTAATTTATCGCTGTGATGTCTATTGCGGATTCTGTGCCTGTGGACTTGGATAGATAGGTGTTCTTTTCGTTATTTAACGGTGTAAGGTCGATGTCGGTTAGCATGTCCTCAGCCTGCTGACCTTTGTTATCCTAGACAGGTGATCCCCAAGTTGGTCTTTCGGCGTTAAAATCACCAAGTATGATTGCGATATTCGAAGACGCTTCACTTAATGGCTCTATCAGGCCTGTATTGATGCTAGTATTATCGTGGTGATAAACATTTATGATTGGAATTGTTTTTCTGTAAGATAGATTTCTATTTCTATTTATATTCTTCTGTCGTGCTTTCTCTAGGCTTACTCTGATTATAGGCGATTTCTAGAGTTTTAATCAAAACAGCAAGTCCTCCTCCGAATTTTCCTTGTCTGTCTTTTCGTAGTGTTGTATAATCTTTGATATTGAATCTCGAATTCTGATTCAATTTTGTCAGCCCTTTATTTTCATCTGAGAACCATTTATATTGAGTTGTAGTAGATTGAATTGTGTCCTCGTAGTAGATGTTTCATCATGAGCTCGAGCTGCAGCTCCTGACGCGGCGGTTACCCCGGACGCGGTAGTATTACTGAAGATATCAGTTTTGCTCTTCATTTGAAAATGGGTGCCGTTGCAACGTTAGTCATCTTGGAAACGAACCAGAATTTGGTCAAATTTTCCAAGGGTCCAGGGGGGACCGCAAGGAGGTGTGGTCGGACTTCTCCTCTTCCCCCTGGAATGCCGTCACTACAGGATAAAGCACTCTTGGTGATATTTTAAATTGTGATTCAGAATCTGCCACTGAAGCTCTACGAGCGTTTCGTTCCTTTAAAGATATTCGAAGCGGTAAAGGACCAATGAGTTGCTACTCTCTAAAGCGATTGATTAAAAGTTTTGAGGAAACTGGATCTCTGGAAGCAAAACTTCGGAGTGGAAGACCAACGACATGCAAGTCAGTGGCTGTTACGGTTTTGCAGAATGCTGAAGCTATTGAAACGTTATCCACGTATGGAGAAGTAAGTGCTAGACAAGTTTCTCGACAAACGGGGATTTCGTATGGAACAGTTTGGAGAGAACACACATTTAGAATTTTTCTATAAAAATAACCTAACAAAAATTTAAAGTTTTCACGAGTTGAAAGTCAGCGATTTTGAGAAGCGTCAAGAATTCGCTGCATGGATTTTCCGGCAAATTGATATTGATGAAAACTGGCTGTCAAATGTTCTAATAACAGATGATGGTCACTTTTATCTGAAGGGAGAATTTAACATTCAAAACTGCCTCATTTTGGCAACAGAAAACCCTAGGATTTTTACAGAAGGGCCGGTCAGCCCGAAAGCTTGAGCGATTTAAAATAAAGCTTCCTACAAAAGACACTCGTCCCATGATTCTCGTATTTGTTTTCTAACTGTAGTGAATGGGATTCCAGTACTTATAGTTAAATACCACTTCATCAGCACAGAGTTACAGTTTTGTGTGGGTTCGCTTCTTCTTTTATAATTGGGCTATTTTTCTTTGAAAAAACCAATGGAAGAACTTTTAAAACCGTTTTTGTAACTGGTGAACGTTATGTTCAACTTTTGAGAGAAAAGGTTATTCCCATATTGCAGGACAGACAAGCACTAAGCGAAATAACATTCATGCAAGATGGAGGACCTCCTCATATCTCCCGAGGTGCCAAACAATTGCTGAAGGATACGTTCGGTGAAATTCGTTGATATGTTGCCACTTTATATACCAGTGGCCTCCAATATCATCAGACTTGACGCCTTACAATTTAGGTTAAGGGGGTACATTAAGTCGCGTTTTTATCGATGCCGGCCTACCACATTGGCCATGTTGAAGGCTTCTATCAGATTCAGATGGCACGTTTTATAAATTTCAACTATTTAATTGTGACCATTCTGTCATCTATCGTCTGCAGGCGGTGTTTGAGAATGAAGGGCGCCACATTGAGCAAGGATTGTGACCTAATACAAGAGAGAAGGCAGTTACCTCATGTGTTATATTTTGCAGCTCTTTGTTTTGGGTTATGGGAATAATAAATGCTGTCCTCACATCTTGACTCTTTTTTTTTTCTGTGAACAGTAATTTTTTTGTTTGTCATTTGCCCACATCTTATATTATGTCGTGCAGGCCAAAGTGTTATAACTTCTCGATAACACTGGTATACAAAATTTTACCCCTTATGTTTAGTTTATCGCTTTTCGCTCATTAGAAGAAATAGCATAAGGAATATTCTCTGTATCCCCCCCCCTCCCCCACCAACTTTAGAAATGTTGCGCAAAAAATAATACAAAATGATTTTACTACCACGTTTTTCAACGCAAAAGGTCGATTTAAAAATGTTTTTTTTTTTTTT